TCCGGCCTGTAATCTCATTTGCATATTTATTTAGTTTGAGAAATGGACGAGAGTTTATTTTCACGGGGAGTCCATATCAACCAAAATTGGCAGAGATTTATGCAGATGAATAATTTTTTTGCAGGTTTCACATGCAGATACGGTGTGTATAAGAAAGTATATAAATACATATTTACATATGTATGTATAAAGGATAATTATTAACATCTTTAATTATGAAAAATATTTAGTAATATACATAATTCAATACTTTGGATTAGTTGGTTGTAAGATCTATTTGATAATATTTATTGTGGTCTGCAAATAATTTAAATTACTTATTCAATGTTGCAATTCAGAGTTAGACACATGTATACATATGTGGATACGTACTTGCAGACTTATGTAAATTTAGATAAGTATGTACCTAAAAAACAACACAACCCGCAAAATTGTATTTCAAGTTTATTATGTATGTAAATATGTATGTAGCTATGTATGTATGTATATTTATACTAAAGTAAGGCTATGCTGGTGGTTTAATGTGTATTAAAATAATTAACTCTTATGCAAACTTATACATAGTTGGATGTAAAAATAAAAATAAATCAACTCGAGGTTTATACAGATAATTCCACTCCCACCCCCTCTAACAGCTACCGGGTAGATGTTAGTGGGGGTGCCGCATAGATAAGTAATTTATTTATTTTACTCATTGTGTTTCAAATGTCTCTACTTTCTTTGCATGTTCGTGAACTGTGGTAAATAATGAACTACTTAACTAATTGTAAGAGGTTACCAATAGGGGATTCAACACCGGTTTTTCAAAACCGGAAAAACCGGAGAAAAACTGGTTTTCGGTGAAACCGAAAACCGGTTTTGGCAAATCTGAAAACCGGATTTTCGCCAAAATTTAAAATTTTTAAACGCTATCATTTTTCTAATTTTGAAGCTATTTAAACAAAATTAATAACGTTCATGCTTAAAATGAAGGCCTGTAATTATTTTGCAAAACCATTGGATAATTTTTAACAGAATTTTGCTATTTTTTTTGGATTAACACAATTTAAAAAGTTGCAAAAATAATCAACAAAATTAAAAGCAATGAATTTGAAAAACTACATAAATTATTCGGCCGTGGTCGTGGGTTCGTATCCCACTGTGATAACCACTTTGTAACCTCTTCCGTGCTTCATTCATAAATTAATATTCGGAACTTCAAATTTCTATTTGCGTAAATTATATTTTCTAATAAATTTCGAATGTGGTTCTAACCTAGAACCCCGTGCAAAAACCTGAAGTTATAGCATTTTAACAGCTTTAAGTTTTGGCTGAAAATTGCAAGAATGCGTATTTTGAAAAGTCATACATGTGTAAATATGTATGTATTTATGTGCTGTCCGACTTGTGCATTTAAGAAAATGCTTATCTTGTCCATGAATAGACAAAAATTTCTCCGGTCGAAATCCAATGCAAATGTTACAGTAAGGTTGCTCGTGTAGGCATTCGCTAAAAATATTCAACCTTGCAAATGGGTAAAATCTTAAAGTTGATACACTGGTCTCTTTTTTTATCTCATTTCCTACGAATCTAGCATTTTCTTCTGGATTACATATCGAACTGGATAGTGCTTTCCTATAATTTTTAGAATAAAACTAGGCTTCGGTTACATATTTAGAATTAATTGGCATCTTCATATTACGTTAACAAATAATCCATTAAGTTAGCATATTTATCTCCTCAAAGAATTAGAGAAGGTAAATTCTTTAATTAGTTTGACGTTTTTCGTGCATCTTTCCGTTAAGCCATTGTTCTTACGGTTAGGGCTGTTAAACCTACGATACCCACATATTTAATTTTTCTACCCCTATAGTGCACAAAATATTGTTTTGGAAAAACGGTTTTGGTGGGTGGAAAACCGGAAAAACCGAAAACCGGTTTTCAGAAAAGGGTCCGGTTCTGAATTCCCTAGTTACCAAGCGACGTATGTACATATGCACATATGTACATAACTTTATTACAAAGATTTAATCTAGTTTGTACACAAAATGCACAGTTTTATGATCTACTAATGGACATATATGAAACTTAACTAAGAACGCAATGAGACTCTTAACATTTGTAAGTATGAAGTTAAAGTTTTGGGTTAGGTTAGGTTGGCTAACAAAATTATTGAAAAGCAAGACTAGAAATAACATCCTCCAAAATTTATAGGGTTGAGGATAAGGTATGTCCTCGCTCAATCAAACATACATGTACTAATTTAGGTAAGCAATTGGCCTACTGATACCGTTATGCACAATTAAGGAGTATACATAAGGGATGCGATTTAAATATTTAAGAATGTAAAGCAAACATGAGATGGAGTGTATCCTGCATGCAAGGTCCCTTCCTTGCAGTGCATGCTGTAATTCGTACATATTTATGTATGCATATATAAATAAGTGGGTAATTTGCTGCAATTAATTACTCGTCCGCAAATTAAGCTGCCCTGAGTAGAGTTACATATTTCCGATATAAATAAGGCCGTAAAATATTAATTTAACATGAACATGTGAATTTCTCCATTCAAAAAATAATCGTTTATCGGACCAGCGCGACCTCGAAGTTACCGCTATCACCTAAAATCCATATCTCATGAATTTGGGAGATTAATGACAATTTCTACTGACGTACAGAAGTGCGTAGTTACTTAATTAATTAATTGGTTAATTGGAAAACGAACCCTTATTCTAAATCTGGGTTGTTTGGGACGAGATACATAATTCTAAATGGGGCTAAAAATATTAAGGAATTACAATTGATATAGTTGTGACGTGGTCGGGCAACACACACCTAAATTCCGTTAGTAAATTGTAATTCTACCTACGGGAAAATGTTAACAACCACGTTCAAACCCTTGTTGCTCCATCACCTAAGAATTTGTAAGCTATTAAAGTGCACATTGGCTCGATGGGAGCCAAATCTGGAACTCCTCGTGCCACACCGTTGCACAAAATTGGGTCTCTTCTATCAGAAAATTCAGCTAATGGCAGGACTCCTTTACACGGTCGGGATCACATTGAAAATTTCCCTGGGGCAGGACACCGTCGCAGAAAAGTCGCAAGGCCTCGTCTTCCTCATGTTATTCCTCATCACGGTTTTGGCCAGGTGGTACTGGCCAGTAAGAGGGATGCTGAGCGAACCGTGCAGAATGCTGAATGCGTGCTTCAAGTTCGAAAAGATGCTTATCAGAGGTAATCAGTCACGAAATTATTAAATAAGGTGTGACTTTTTCTAAAAGTTGTAACACTTGTAACGTTTGACATTTTTGAACGTTTGAAATGTAGGACGTTTGATTTGTCGAATGTTAAAACTTTAAAGATTTACTGTTTCTTAATTTGGAAATAAATATGCATTAATTTTTTCACAAATAGAAAGATCTCGAAATTTTATAATTTTAGAAATTTGTAATCTTTGAAATGGCTCTCGTTTGTACCATTGCGGCCAGTTTTAACTAATTGGTAACTCTGACTAAAATTCCCAAACTACGATTATCCGTATTTTCAAAATCAAATATTTGCATGTCATTCATGATTTTACTATAATTTATTACATACGTGGGGCAGCCATGAACTTATAACTTAAAATTATGACGTATGACTTATTTTATAAGTTGCAAGTCATAGAAACGCCATAAGGCGACGTATAGATATTTAGAATTATAAGTTAAGTTATACGTCTTAATTTTAAGTTATAATTCTTGCGCCCATGGCTGTCCCATGTATCTATTACCTGATGAAGGTATTTTCATATACCGAAAAAACTTAATTTCAAAATATTTCGATCAATGTACATGCATAATTGTGTACATAATTGTATCTGAATTTTTTGAATTTTTTTAATACACTTCTTTATTTAAGCAGATTTAAGTTTGAAGAGTGTGTCCGCCTGACGGCGTTTACCCAGTTGTGTAATAGCCAATTGATAATTGTTCTTCCTTCTAAAACTTTTATAGAGAACCCCTCCCGTCAACCTGGCACGCGGGACAGATGCATGCTAGCATTTTTGAACTTGCTGGAAACAACAGCCGTCCTAATCCCGCTAATCGTGGTGGCAATTCAGCTCCACAATCCTTGCGCTCTCCCATTCCTTGGAAGCATGTCGCCCTACTGCGATAAAGGGGTTTGGATCCCGCCACCCTGCTGGGTCCATGTACTCATGATTGGGGCGGATTTTTGGATCTGGCTCCACCACGCGTACGACGGGTCCTTCTATATCATTTATGCCTTCATGGTTGCCATCGTGTGCATGCTAGACTACTTGGAATATTTCGAAAAGTACGGTATAAAACTTGAGTACAGGGTGGTACAAAAATTAGTAAATATGTATACACATTTTTTGGAGTGCTAAGTTTTTAAACTTTTTAAACTCCCGGGTAGAATGGTACACGAGTTGCGGAAACTTGGAGAGGATCCCACAACGGAAATCCATATCGGCAAAGTTATCCATACATACCGATGCCTTCGCCTTGTCGAGAAGACGCTGAACCACGCACTGAAGGGACAACTCGTGCCGGCCATGATCGGCGTGGCACCGCAAATTCAGGTTTTCTCCATGTTCGTGTGCATCAAACTGTATTCGCAAATCCCGATGCCGGGCTTCCTAATATTCCCCCTCCTCCTGGTGGACGCCACTGTAAATAATTTGGTCATCGAGACGCTGGCGGCGAACGTAAATACGAATTCGACCAAAATACTGTCCGACTTGAATCGCGGGTTGAGCTACGGTATTCGGAGAAAGGCTACCATTCGGAAGGAGCTGGCGTCCTGCACAGCAGTAAAAATACAATTTGGGCAAAATTTTGTAGACAAAGGGACGCCATTGGTTATTGAGAATTTCTGCTTTAATCAAACCGTGTCCCTGCTTTTGATGAATGGAAGAAGAAGCAGTGGAAAAGTGGGGTAGTGTATAATTAAATAAGGTTTGTACTATTATCACACTATGCATATTAAAAGTTCAAAATAAATAGTCACGCTTGATCCGAAATTGATGGGTAGATTTATTTAAGTTTCTCGATGTCAATTAATTTGATATAATATATTAGTAAGTCCTGTCCAGTTTTTCGCGTTTGAAAATGGTCATTTTAAACGGAAGCGGGAACGTTGCAGCGCCTTCATTCATTCTAAGTTTTGGCAGGCTTTGTCCAGGAGCTGTGCCAAGTTTAAAAGTTTTAAGGATACTGAGGAAGAAGAGGAACGCCATGGCATCAGCGAAAGGCTCGCCGGGACAGCGACGTTTTCCTTAAAACGTGTCAAGTTCAAAAAAGAATTACAAAATTACATTACATATAAATTTGAAACCCAAAATTTCATAAACACTTAAAGAAATTAGTTGTATAATATGTAATACGTAAAGTGAACGGATGCAATAAATCAGACCACCGGACATACCAGCTCCAAACGGTAGACATTGACGTTTAGTTTTCAAGCAGAGCCCTTCACCGTTCGGACGAAGGAATCGAGATGGGTCGAATTCGCTCGGATTCTTCCAGATTCGTGGATCAGAATGAGCCGACACAATATCAGCCATTAGCAAAGTGTTCTGCAAACATATGTAAAAGTGCGAATTAAAAATATCGTTCTCTTTGGTGTATGTATTCTTTTAAATATAAGATTCTGCTAAATAAATATTTACTTTTGGGATGGTAAATTCGCCATATTTAAAGTCCGCCGTGGACCAATGTGGAACCAGGTTCGGTGTTAGTATAGCCGTCCTGTGGACTTCAAGCATGAAGGCTTCAGTGTTTGGCATTCTACCGTTTTGATTACAGGCATGTTTTTAGAATGATAAGAAAAATGCGTCAGGGTTTTTACACTGGGCCTCCTCAGACAGTTCTCAAAAATCTCGCTTGCTTCGCTTGGTTAGAAATTTCGCTTGTGTTAGCGAAGGTGCATCATCACCGTCACTTGAACAACCAATCAGAGCTCGCCATTCTAAGCGAGCGAAAATCTGGGGAAGCGAAGCTCCAGAGTAGAGTTAGTGTCGCTTACTTTTTTGCTCCTCACCTGCTGCTGTTGTAAATTTTAAAATTCGCGCACAGTCTCACTTTGTCTGTTTGTCTCCCTTTACTGTAGCGAATTCTGGAGCGAATTATTAAGCGAAAAGAGTTCAGTCAGATTTGCTTCGCTAATTCGCTTAATGCAGCGAAATTTTTAACCAAGCGAATCAAGCGAATTTTTTGAGATGTGTCTGAGGAGCCCCACTGTTCGTTCCTTAACATTACCGACGCTGATGCTCCAATTTGGGTGATACTCCGTCCCCGATGACGCTGTAAATCTCGCTTACAATCTTTTCTTGCCAGTATGGATGGGTGACGCAGTGCAAGAGGAGGCACTGCACGTAAGCACTCGTACTTTCCCCGGACCCTTGCAGTAAGTCCATGTAAATGCTGGTGAAATGAAAATCTGAAAGATTTATAGCATTTTAGATTACTAACAATGGAGGTCTCCAAGGGTATGTATACACATACAACTTCTGATTAAAGGTGCCCATTGCTTATAAATTTAATTAGTATGAAATTTAAAAACGACACTACATACATATTTGTACATTTCTAAAGAGGAGAAACGATGATGCACAAAGTTGGCAAATTTATTATTTCCCAAATTCACTCCACATTTTCTTATGTTTGGATGCAAACATTTTCTTTACATTGGGAGGTAAAACAGTTTCTTTTGCAGACATCATACACCTTAAAATTGTAATCGACTAACACTAATTTCATAATTATCGGAGATTACACGAAGAGAGAACTAGATTTTCTGGTCTACTATAATTTGTTAAGATCGTTTACGCTTACACCGATACTGATTTAGCGTGGCATGTGTGCACAAATATTTATGTACATATTTAATTTATACGTATGGTAAATATCCTACCTGTAAAATCTGGATCTAATGGATTGTTTTGCATCACGTTCAAAAATGCGTGTGCAAGGCTAGCTGACATTCCCTTGTGTGCCACTGATGAGCTTAATGCTTCATTTCTAACATCGTCAAGGAGACTCTGACAACAATAAGGTCAGATTTTTATACCAATTTCACTTTTATCAACGTATGTACATATTTTTCACTTACTTGGCCCGCTTTTCTTGCCGCTGAATGTAACTTATCTTGCACCTTGCGCCCCGTCGCGTTCGAAAAAATTCGACTCAAAAATGGAAATGCGACATCCAGCCCGGCCGCAAAAGACGAGAGGCCCATTATGTACTCCATATTCAAGTGAATCATCTCGGTGAGTAGGGCCCCATTCTTGGCGTCATTGATCCTATCAGCCCCCATCACTGAGGTGAAGATGACCTTGAAAAATGGCATCATCATGACATGATCTGAGACTTCGACTTCTGCGAATGGCATCTCCGATGAGGATAAGGCCTTCTCCCAAACAGCAATTATACTGCCGCATTGCGCATGAATGGTGTCCTCAATTCCAGAAAATTTGCTGAGTCCGACTTTACTCAAGGTTTTGAAAGTCCAGGCCCGAAGTTTTTTTCCAGGTTTCTCCATTAGAGGTTACAATTCCTGTGAAGGTATTATGTATTAATGGATTCATAAATAGACATATTTTGTATAGAGCTAATTATTTGTCGTAAATTAACAGTAGATATTACATTAATACCCTGGCATCTTTTACGTTTTAAATGTAAATGTCTCAAAAACGTCACACTATTTACTTGTTTGTAACGGGTTATGAACAGGTATCATTTATGACATTCCTTGGTCCAAGATCTCTACAGCAAGCTGCCATCTTATTCATGGAGGGATGTTGAAATTGGTATTTACAAGTGGTCAGGAAAAGCAATTTCGTTAGTTCGCAGTTACTTGCAGTCCTTTTGTTATTTTGTTAACAAATTTGTTAAAATAGAGCCATAAAATTGGGAGTCCAGATCGGATCGGATTACATTCAATTATTTAGCTTTTATTGTTAGGGAACGTCCAGTGGTTTTGGTCTTCCTATCTTTCCCATGTTAAAATTCCCTATCCCTTAAGGTTTACGTTGGGTGGGTGGGTGATAAAATCGAGAATTTTTGATGACGTATGGATAAGCCCTTATCCTTCTTCTATTTAAGACAAAAACTTGCCTGTATTTTGTCCCATACTTCGTTCATGAAAAAGCCCAACATCAGAATCTCTAGCAAGGGCTTCTTCTCGGCTTATAACGTCAATAATTGTGTCCACTGAACTTACCACGACTAAAGAAGAAAATTTCAATATAAGTATTTTAAGTAGAAAAAGGCACATTTTTAAGCGGTAAATACTTATGTACATATTTATCTCTCACCAATGTCTTTTACTCCAACGTGAAGTCGATAGATATCCCCGTAAACTTTTGACAGGGTAGAAATTGCTTTCGATGGTTGTCCCCCAAGTCTCGCCAGTTGCAACAAATTTCCAACAAGTGGGAGAGGAAATGGCCCTAAAAATATTTTACTTCAGTTCTACTCAACTTCGCACTTATGTAAATTAGCCGTCCTATTTACCTGGTGGACCATTTCGCCACTTTTTGTAAAAGTTAAGATAATATCGCAAAATATAGAGGCAGATTAAAAATCCTACGCCGTATAGTATTTGCATTTTTGTAATCAACTGATATTTTACTGTATCACGGTCTAAATTGTGTGCAGTTATGTTTTGTTCAATTCTTTGGTCCCACATTTGCCCCTGTGAAATGGGATGTAGATACTAAATTCTGCTGCGATTACCATAATGTGGTTAACCAAATTGCCACACTTTGGTCATAAAAATATTATTTTGCAATACAATAAATACTTTGGAACTGCAACTTCCGCAATTTGAGTTTAATTTGTAATAACTACTTACATGTAATAAATGTTTTCCAGATAAATTGTGTAGTCTCATCTACCTTATCTACATCATGCATATGTACCAGTAATAATATAAGTCGATAAACATTGCGTACATGGATTCAATTCATATGTAAAAATGTAAATATTCAACCTCGGAGGAAAATTCATACAAAAATGTATAATTGTATATACATAAATCCTTACCCAACTTCCTCCATGGTATGTATGTATGTACATAGTTATTGACGTAAACCACTAAACAAGAAGTTGATATTATGAACACTTTCAACCTTTAAAAATTTCATGATCCAACCAAACTAAAAGTTTAATCGATATTGAACTTATAAGTAACTCAATAAAAGTAAAACTAACAAAAATATTTATGAATCAAACTTGTAATTGAAATTTTGGACTCAAGCTAAATTTGTTCAAATGCTTGTCAATTTACATAGATTGTAATTAAATTTATTTCCACAATTCATAAACAACGTACATGCAAAGCTTGTAACGACTGAGAATACGCATACATTAATCTCAACGATTACTTGTACCTTGATGACTAATAAGATAAATACGTACATGTACATATGTATAGATAGTGTCGTTGTACGAAAAATTTGCACAACGGTTGGATAAACTTTAGACAATTTTGGGTTCTTTTGCCAACTTTAGATTAATTCTACGAAATGGTTGTGCAAATTTTACCCAATTGTTGTGTCATTCTCATTTTAAATCCATTTATGTACTTAAAATAAGTATGTAATTTTAGCACAACTTTTATTTAGAGTGCCAGAAAGGTTGCACTAACCCCGATAAGGGACATTTTATATTTTGGACAGGTTAGGATAAGTTTTTTCTGTTACTTAGTACAATTTACACGTATGAACCTAGGTACCTACATACATAGGTACATATGAACGGCGCGTGTGGGTTTTTTATTGTGAGTTTGATGCATAAAGTAGACCTTAAATAACGAAACTACTAAAACATGTATACATACATGAAACCACATTAATAAAAGCACTTAATTACTCTCCTTACGCAAACCTTCAAGAAACTATTGGATACTTTGTTGCAAATAAATTGTAAAATTTTCGCAATCAAAACGTAAATTTTATAACGAATTTCGATCAAAAAGACAACACAAGCTCCAGAACAGGCAATTCCGCGAATTATGAACACCGTTAAAATTGCGCCACCCAATCCAACCGGTGGTTCTATCTTAGCCTGTCTCACAGGCTTCCGAAATAAACGTCTCCGATACATTTCCTCTTCTCGTAATCGCCGAAATATTCCGGACTCAACCACGTCATTGAAATATTTCGGTACCTTGGAAAATCCCGAATAATAGAAGCACCAACCTGAAGGCATCGTCTCCAGGATTTCTTTCCCCCGGTAAAATTTTCTAGTGGGATAATGCCTCTCCAGAAATTGAAATTCTGTAGCAATTAGATCTGATTTTGAAATGAACACCGACTTTCTGCATTCCACCAACTCACTTTCCACACTCGTTCGCAACTGGGCTAACGTCTGGTTTTTGTTCGAATATTGGAAACCTTTAGGATAATGGGAGTGTCTTGGATCAAATAAATTAAATATGCTAAGGATCTTTTCATCAACAGAATTTGACCGCCAAGCGACAACCAATCTATCTCTTAGAGTGTGGTGCAAGTATACCAAAAATTCAGGATGCCTAGGATACCCTGAAACATACCCCTGAGGTAAAGAAATCAAATCGAAGCACTTGTTTGATGGAATTGGGTTACTAAATTGATGAATAGGCAATGAATGCCCTAACATGAGGTATACGTAGTTAAGCTCTAACTTCTCTAAGTGTAGCATGTAATACGCAACTCGGTCATAACCATATTTTGAAATTCTATTTTTCACTGCCGTATAATTGGTGTGTCTTATTCGTTGTGCTGAATAGCTTTGGATGAATTTGGATATATCACTAGCACCCATTCTTCCACACAAGAGGTGTTTAAATAGAGAAGGTCGTGTGGCTTTTAGAGGTGAATTAAGTTCTGATATCATTATTCCATTATAGCAATTTGTGAGAATCACAGACATAATACACCAAGAACCAAGAGCTAGGCGTAAGTACAAATTGCCTCTTGCTATCCAAGGCAGGTGACCATCTTCAAACATTGTAGCAAGGAGAAAGAGCCACGGGACGAACGAAATTTTTTTCCAATAGACGTAGCCAGTTGTAATTAGAGTAATCAAGGTTAGTGTTGTAACCAGTGTCACCCATAACGATGGCTTAAATGGCGTAATGAACAAATCGAAAGTAATATAGTGCTCTCTATAACACGTTAAATATTGATAGCCTACATTTTCAGTGATTACAAACGTAATTTCACGAGAAAACAAGGTTGGTGAGGATGTGGTGGCGACTAATATTGGAAACAACTCTGAACATATATTGACCATACCAAGTGTTTCGTTTGCCGCCAGGAATATGTCGTTGATAATTTTTTCGACATGAGAACTAATACGGTCAGAGATAATGGAAGTTTTCATTTTTTCTTCATTAGCACTGCCCCCTAAAACAGATGATCTTTTTTCTAGATTCAATTGGCACCAGGATGGCGGAACCGTGGAAATAATTTGAATATCATTAAAAAAGGTAATAGTATCGGATTTTTTTTCCAAACAGATCAAGTTTTCGTTCAAGGAGGAATAGTTTGACATCATTTTTTCCCACTTAATAGTAGACCACGCGCACATTTGAAATTCATTTTCATTCGCAACAAATAAGACGGTAATTCTAAAATAGGATTTCGCAAAAAAATAAACTCGGGCAATTCGATGTCGGTTAGTTTCTGTAGTAACAAAAGTAATTACAACGCGATTACCTCGTACATGAATTCTCTCGTGGTTGTCCGCATAAAACAAGTGCCCAGTACTCATCTGTTCAATCCAGTCACCTAACTCCAACTGTGTTTCAATGACGTTTTCACTTATTCCATATTTTGATATAAATATTGCAAATTTGCAGTGTGAAAGCACTCGTGATTTGAATATGTCGATCTGCAGGGATTCCTCACGAATCCAGTAAAATCGTGACATGTAGATGATTTTTGCCGGGACGTTGATATTGAACCAATCAACTTTTTCGTCTGGTCCATCATGGAGAACTTGAACGTCGCAAGTTCCCAATTTGTTTAGCAGGGTGCGAAATACCGAAAGAGATCCATTACTTGATTGACATTTTATAAAACAAAATAGTATAATTGCAACAAATTGCACATGCTTTTCCATGTTAATTTGTAATTGGAATACGATCCTGCTATGGGGCAAGAGAAGCAGCAGTAAAAGAACTTTAGTGCGAAGTAATGGTTATTTCAAAGTAGCATACATCACATTTCACGAAAAAATACTATATGAATCCCGACGCAAGCCAAGAATTTGCAGAGCCTTTAGTGGTGTCTATTTGTAATAAATACGGTATATATATGTATGTTGTTGCTTAGCACTGATCTTTATTTCGGCTTTCAGAACTAAATCAAGTTTTTAATGATCGATTAAAAGTTATTTATGAAATCATTTAAGTTCATTACCAAGGAAAATATTGAACAGAAGGGGCACTTAAATAAGTACTAATAGTTGCAATTATACTTTAGAATTGCTGATGGTCTAGGCGAAATCGGATCAAGGATAAATTCTAGCCAATGACCATACATGGAATGGCACAGACATTATTATGTATCTCCCTATCTTGGCACATTATATCTGCATTTGTCAAGCTATTTTGAGGATTCGTTAGTTTTTATTACATACATCGCCCTAGACAAAATGTAACCGATTTTCAGGAGATTGTTTAGTATGAACGTTGAGGATGGATAAAATTGCGCAAACCGACCCGTTGTAGTTCTTGCTCGATGGGATTGATGGACAGTCCCCGTATGGGAATTCCAATTAGTTTACTGAAAAAATGAGTAATGTCCGGCAATATTATTTTACGGCCAGGTAATTAGTTTGCGGTTCTTATTTTAGAAGGAAATCGAAACATAATTAATCATAAGCTTGATATCCAAGAGTGTATGTATTTTGAATATAAAATGTTCATGAAAATCGAAAAGCTTATTATGCGAATGGTCATACATAATTTATTACTCCCATCACACACGTATGTACGTATGTACTTACATGAATTACTTGTTTCTAATTTAGGTAGCAATTATAAGCCTCAATATTTGATAACTCAATATGTACATACATATGCATACCGTAGATACTCAATTGTAAAGACTAATTTAGCGAAACAAATCGAATTTAAACTTCATAGTTAAGTACATACATACATTTTTCTGATCGCTGACGAGTTCTTTATGTAGTTCCGCGTAAACGAATGATGGCATGATCTGCTGAAGGACTATTTAAATTAATACTTTTGGTGACAAGGCATGTATGTACATATGTATGCTCGCTGACGAGTTTATTAACATTAATAATACAGAGGTGAACCGATTATAACCAATGTGTATTCAATTTATGTATGTACGACCAAATTAGTTAAAAGTTAAATTTATAGTAGCGTACTTACATAGCTTTAGTTATAATTTACTTTGTTTATTTCATAATTAAGAGACTGAAGTTTGTAACTCTTAAAAATGCTTATAAGAGATGGTCTCTAGGCAAGCTTTCTTTTTCCGACAGTAGAGTTTCCTCGAATTTATCCATGCCGAAGCTTGACCCTATTGTGCACAGGACTGAGGAGTCCTGAGTCCCGTAAGCGGGCCCTCACATATCGCACTTACAAATTATGGAATGCCCTCCCAAAAACCTGGACATTCAAAGACATGACCTACTCAACTTTATGTGACTCTGTTAAAGATTATAT